CACTAGACGCTCTAACCTTCCTAGTATTACGATCACATGCAGTTATCAGAGTGCTGATTGCAGTACTGATCGCTCCTTGATGTGTAGTAGAGTAAAACTGCAAACAAAGAGATTGTATTACACGAAAAAGGAAGGAAGACCATGTATTGACATGAGAAAGACTTGTGATCAAAGAAAAGTAGAGGAATTTGCCCAAGCGCTTGAGGAAACCCTTCCAGGCCCAGTTGATGCAAATGCACCTGAACGATGGGAACATTTCAAGAACACTGTTTATAACACCGCCTTGTCCACATTTGGCAAGAAGACCAAAAAGACGGCCAACTGGTTCAAAGCCCATTTAGAGAAGTTGATGCCAGCCATCGAGAATAAGAGAGCTCTAGTAGCATACAAAGCCTGTCCTAGAGAGTACAACATCTAGGCTCTTCCAGTTGCTCGTAATAAAGTTCAACGGACTGCCAGAAGATGTTCCAATGATTATTGGCTTCAGCTCTGCTCTCAGATACAGATAGCAGTGACACAGGTAACGTCAAGGGAATGTATCATGGTATCAAGCAGGCTTTAGGTCCAATACAAAATAAATCTGCTCTTTTTAAATTTGCTACAGGTGTGATCATCCAGGACTGAGCATAGCAGATGGAATGCTGGGTGCAGCACTACTCTGAGCTATATTCCAGAGGGAATGTAGTAACTGAAGAGGGACTAAATAACATTGAGTGCCTGCCTGTCTTGGAAGAGTTGGACAGCGAACCAACTTTATCAGAAATAAAAGCGGCCTTGGATTCCCTCAACTCCGGCAAGGCTCCAGGGAAGGAAAACTTCCCTGCTGAAGTGCTGTAAAGACATCATCACCACCAAGCTGTATGAAATCTTTTGTCTTTGCTGGAGGCAAGGTGTTGTATAAGAACAAAGGAGACAGGGGTGACTGCAAAACTACTGTGGCATCTCTCTTCTCAGCGTTGTAGGGAAGCTGCTTGCCCATGTTGTGCTGAAGAGATTTCAGGTGCTTGCAGACAGAGTCTATCCAGAATCACAGTGTGGATTTTGAGCTAATAGATCCACTACTGACATGATATTTTCCCTCCAACAGTTGGAGGAGAAATGCAGGGAACAACAACAGCCGCTCTTTGTGGCCTTCATAGATCTCACAAAGGCCTTTGATCTGGTTAGCAGGGATGGCCTTTTTAAAATACTTCCCAATATTGGATGTCCACCTCAACTTAATATCATCAGGTCCTTTCATGAGGAAATGAAGGGCACTTTAGTTTTTGTTGGCTCAACATCAGAGCCCTTTGATATCCGGAGTGGAGTGAAACAAGGTTGTGTCCTGGCACCGACCCTGTATGGGATCTTCTTTGCTGTCATGCTGAAGCACGCCTATGGAACTGCAACAGAAGGTTTTTATCTCTGGACTAGATCAGATAGAATGCTCTTTAGTCTCTCTAGATTCTGAGCGAAGACCTAAGTCCAAGTGAAATGCATGCGGGACTTCCTCTTCGCTGATGATGCAGCTGTTGTTGCCCATTCTGCTGAAGACCTCCACCAACTCATGAATCATTTTAGCAAGGCCTGCCAAGATTTTGGACTAACAATCAGCCTGAAGAAAACACAAGTCATGGGCCAGGGTGTGGACTCACCTCCCTCTATTACCATCTCCACACAAGAATTGGAGGTTGTTCATGACTTTGTGTACCTTGGCTCAACAATCTCTGACACACTCTCTCTAGATGATGAGCTGGATAAACGCATTGGCAAAGCAGCTACCATGTTCTCTAGACTCACAAAGAGAGTATGGTTCAATAAGAAGCTGATGGCATATACTAAGATCCAGGTCTATAGAGCCTGTGTCCTGAGCACACTTCTGTACTGCAGTGAGTCCTGGACCTTTGTCCAGGACTCACTGCAGGAGAGGAAGCTCAACACCTTCCATATGTGTTGCTTCCGACGGATTTTTGGTATCACCTGGCAGGAAAAAGTTCCAAATAGAGTAGTCCTAGAACGAGCTGCAAATTTTAGCATATATACATTACTGAAACAGTGACTTCTACATTGACTTGGGCGTGTTGTGAGAATGCCTGATGGTTGGATTCCATAGGATCTCTTGTATGGAAAATTAGATCTGAAGATCTTAGGAATGGACCTCAACAGATGAGAAACCTTGACATCGGAGTGTTCAGCCTAGAGGCAGGTGATGCATCTTGTCTTCTTGCATTTTGAAGAGACACTTGTCCAGGAGGTGGAGGCAAAGAGGCAGTCCCGAAACCAGCAAAATCAGGGAGCTGGACAGGGGACAGATTGTATTTGTCTTCAGTATGGAAGGAATTGTCACTCTCGAAGTGGCCTTCTCAGCCACACTAGATGCTGTTCCAAGTCCTCTGTTCAGAGCACGTTATCATAGTCTCTTGAGACTGAAGGATGTCTAATCTAATCTTTATTCTTATGTCTGACAAAGTACGCTATGTACATAAAAGCTCACATTAAAATACAGCAGTCAGTTTTTAAGTGCCATAACATTTTTGTCTATTTTATTTTTTATTTTTGTTTTGATTTGTTTCTTTATGATATGTTTTGTTGTGGCATCTCAAAGACTGACAATTGATATTTGGTGTGAGCTTTTGTGGACTGTAATCCACTTCTTCAGATGTTTGCACTGGAAGCCGTGGGCTACAAACAATGAAAGGTTTTCACAAATAAAACTGGCCTTCTTCAAAATGGCTTAAGAAAAGCAGAAAATATGGCTACCCCCCTGGAAATTTCTACATATTATGTTTTGGGCCTCCTCCCCTCCACTACTTTTTAATTTCACCTGGAAGGAATTTCCAGAGTGCAAGACTTCATTTGCTGTACTATCTCACTAAATGCTAGATTTTTGTGTATTGTTTTATACCATGATTAATAGTTTACTTCTGTAGTTTCTCAGATGCTTCAAGTGAAAGTCATGGCTATTCCTTTGACAATTTCCTCATACCTTTCACGACATTACGTGCATATTTGTGTCTGAGCAATTTGCTTGACAGGTAAGCAGTGGATGTCATATGTAGCTATAGTTTTCTCTTTTTATTGTACTGTCATTTCTTGATTCACTCCTTTTGAGGAGTAAAATCTCCTGCCTGGCTGGCAGACTGATTGAGGATAGAAGGAAAGGGAATTCATCAGACTGCAAACATGGGAATTTACTCAAATGAAAAGAATATTTAAAAAATAGGATTTTGTTCTACACTTGAGTAATGGCTGAACTAACTGGTCCAACTGCTACTCCACTTTTTTCTACAGTTCACAGCTTTGTGTTGATACCGTAATCAAATCAATATAAATGATCCTCTGAGCTGGGACTCCTAGAAGGAAAGTGTGAAGGAATTATGGCTTATGGTGTCGACATGAAGTTAGCAACATCTGGTTGCTCTGCCGGTGAGCTCTCTTCACTGCAGAGCTTCTTTGTCTCCCCATTCAGAATAATGTGAGACTACTGGGTCTCACAAATGCAATCTGGAGGGGAGGAGGAGTGAGCTCCCATTTAAAAGGGCACTCCTTCCCCATTTCGGCCTTTTTCGAGGCTTGAAACTGACAGAGTTAGCAGAATTTTACCAGGATTTTCCCAGGTGGTGATAACCAGCAGAGTTCCCAGTGAAGTGCAGACACAGTCAGCAAACACTCTTGTAGCAGAAATACTTGGTTTATATGCAGAATATTTACAGATATTTACAGCTTCAGTCCTTGTTCTATACACGGCAGTTTCACAGTCACAGAGCCTTAAATCAGTGTCACAGTCCAGTAAATAGTCATATACCATATAGTCAGTCCGTTCAGCCAGAGTTCCACTCTCCAAGCACGTAGGTACGGCTTCCTCTGAACTCTCAGGCTTGGCTCCACAGCTACAGCACTTCACGACAACCCAACAGCAACCCACAATGTTGTGTTCTAGTTCTCTAGCTATATACTAGAGTTAGCCAATCATATTCACCCTTCTGGCACATTCCAATACAGCTGTTTTTACTCATGCTTGGGTCTCCTTTACAGTGCTGGTCCTTGTAAATACTTACATCTTGTACTGAACTGCATTTAACAATTTTCCAGGTTTATCCAAACCCTGTCAGAAACCCACCTGCCCACCCTGTAGCCAGTGTGAATTCTACTAGTTGCCTTTAGGAGCTGGATTGGAATTCTTGACCTGCTGCTTAATAGGCCGGTAGCTGTGGGGATTGATTTTTTTGCCTATCCTACACTGCTCAAAATGTGAGGCTGTTAAATGGTGGTTATTAATTCGGTCACGCTGGCGAGTAGTGCAGAATAAAGTTGCATTGGCGAGTCTCTGTGAGAACACAAGTTAAGGTTATAGCTCATCCAACATCCCAGCACTACAGATTGTGGAATTACAGCATGGGGGGGAGGATGCACAGAGTCACACCTGGACTGAGGGCCACCAATAGAACCAGGGGCTTGAGGCCTGGGGGTGGTCAGAGCAAGGCTGGCCAGGGTTCTGCTGTCTATAGGACCCTGCAAACTCAGGGCAGGTGACTTACCCATTTCCATGAGAAAGGAGTCTGGTGAGACCCAATTATACTCATTCTGCACTATGACAGGCTCATTTCTCTTGTTGGAATTAATAAAATGTGGCCCTGGTTTACTCCATCACTTTGTGTCTTGCATCATTATTCTGCAGTGGGGTGGCAATGCAAAGTGGTAATAGGGTTAACATCCCTTTGATGATAAAGTCTGTAAAATGCTCTTGATGAGTTACCCAGGCATGAGTGCTTTGGAGAACTGTAATCCTGGCATGCCATCCCGAGACAGGTAAGTTAGAGGGAACGTCCTGACCTTGATATGGGTGAAATGGAGTTTTGTTTACTAGTAGCAGTTGCATCTGGAATTTGGTTAATTGGCCTTGGCTGACATTGCTAAAATCAATTAAAAGCTGCTCCCTTATTGGGGGATCTTTACAGCAGTGAACTGCAGACTGATGGGATTTAAGGGAGATGGTTAGTTACCTTTTTCTCGCTCTCCATCTTGGATCATCACCAGGACTCAGCAAGCTCATGTTTATGCTCATACTATGTACTATGAAGAATTCTATATCTGCCTGTAAGTATTGCTTGGAGTCAGATTTTCTTTATTTTCTGTGGGGACTATTTCATCAGGCTTTGTGCTCTGTAAGATCTACTTATGCTACCAAATGATGTTTTTTATACTCGCTGCTGAGATAATGGAATTTTATATCTTAGGCTTTGTCCTTTTAATGGAACAAATTTTATTCAACCTGTGGTTTATTCAGACAGCTGTGAGGAGGGGTTGAAAGTACTTTTTCCAGTGTCTGAGGGTGCTTGGACATCTTGAAGCATGTTGGGTTACTTTAAGTTCTGTGCAGGGTTGGGTTGCACTTAAGAGCTGTGTGTGTTTGTTTCTTGAGCACCTGCAAGTGGGAGACCCAGAATGTGCTAAGGAAGGCATGGACCCTCGGGAGGCTTTCCCAACCATTACTGCAGTGGCCTTCTGGACCTAACCTAGCCTGGCACAAAAGCTAGTGGGCCTGAATGATCAGATGATCCCCTCTGAGTAACCCATGGGTAAACACATTTTCCTTCACTGAAAGATAGAAATCTGGAGATTTTTCCCCTCATCGAAAGGGGAGGAAGATCTTTTCTATAAAGATTTCCTGTAACTTAGAAGCAATGTCTCTTTTCTAAAGCAGACAGAAAAATCTGACCAGCATTCCACTGGAGTATAACAGTGGCAGCAGTAATATAGAATGAGGAGACCAACACAAATCAAAGGTGAAGTGCAGAAATAATTGATAACTTATGATGATGGAATGATTAAGTATCAAAGCACTTGCATGTGTAATGTTAAAACATGTCATCTTTTGGACAGAAGAGAAGTTAATGTTATGTATAAATTCCCAAACTCAATATCCTTCATGTATTCTGAAAACAGCAATTGCCTAACACTTTGATGTTAAACCACCTTCTATCGGAACCATTTAAATCAGTGACAGAGGAACATATTTTCTCACATGCTTTAAGACAAGTTGTTGTTTGGAGTATTGTTTGTGGGTTTTTGGTGGCTGAATATCTCTTTCTACCTCATTGAAGTGTGTGTGTGTGTGTGTGTGTGAGAGAGAGAGAGAGAGAGAAAGAGATACTGACAACCCCCACTGGAGACTAATTTGGTTTTAAATATATGCTATGAACATTCTGGGCAACATTATTGATGTTTTTGGACTAGTCATTGTCATCATGATGGGATATGTAGTCAAAAGTGTGTCATGATGATGGAATATGTAGTCAGACAAATATAAAATTGAGTCAGATAGGTTCTGTGTGGAGATGATTTAAGGGACTTTGGAATGTGTTTTTCTAAGTGCCATGAGAGTGTTTTTTGAGATCGTTACAGCCAAGATCCAGATATCTTGAAGGCCAAATGAAGAGGCCCTGGGAGACATTCCATGCTTGTTACAGAAGAGATAAATGACACTCACGGGAATAAGGGAAGGAAAGAGGTAGTATAACCTCTAAAAAGTGAATTGGTTAACAGCCAGAAAGACCATGCAGAAGGGAGGAGTTTGGGAAGGTAGAAAATGGATGATGGGTTATGTGAAAGGGCTCGATGATGATTGATGTAGACTCATGTGGTTCGTGTGGTTTTCTGTTCTATGAAAGAGAAAGGATGTAAATAAAGGAGAAAGAAGAGGGGGACTAGCCCACCATAGCTTACCCTACTTTAGCTTAGCTTTTTTGGTTAGCTTTTTTAGTGTTTATTATTTTAAATGGGAAATACTTACCTTATTTAACTGCAATGATCTTTGAATATGTTCTTAATGCTGATGCTTATGCAAGATAAACTGATTTCTAATGAAACTCTATTTCTCTAATGAAAATTAATTATTAAAATCTCTTACCAAAGGTCTGGTCTCTTCAACAGCAGGGTCTGGATAAATCCAAGAGTGGAGAGGGCCACAAACTAGCTGTCATTTAAGAGTTCCACCCAACTGAGCTGTTGTGAGTTCTAAGGAATCACAAAGCCCATGTGCCTGTACCTGCAAAGTACTAAGTAAATGCAAAGTGTTCTTTTTAGGTCAGACTTGTTCAAAGGACTTACCCGTATTTGCCGGCGTATAAGATGACTGGGTGTATAAGACGACCCCCCTACATTTCCACTCAAAATATAGAGTTTGTTATATACTGGCCATATAAGACTACACCCTCTTCTGCACACCTTCCACACACCAAATAAAAGGTGCTATTCATTGTCACCATTGTACGGCCACAGCATGACCACAGTGCCTCCGGCCTGCCCCTGCATCTCCCTGTGACCGGCACTAGTGCACAAGTGTGCATGTGTGAGCTCTGCGTAGACAAGGAGCGGGCCGGAGTGCCGCTGCTTCCCACCAAGCAGAATTGGCTGGTCACATCGAAAAGGCTGGCACCCCTGTCTTGCTGATGATGCTTGCCACGGCCACACTGGATACCGCGTGATACTGGACAGTATGTAGAATGAGGTGGGCAGGCATCGGAAGGCCATTATGGGCAGCTATGTCTATACCAACTGAAGTGCACCTGGCGTATAAGACGACTCCCCCACTTGGAGGCATGTTTTTCAGGGCAAAAAAGTAGTCTTATACACCAGAAAATACAGTATGCTACATACTGCTGAGGTCTAAGGTCTTGCCCCAGTGCAAAGGTGGTAGATAAGTGCTGGTCAAACTCTCTGGCTGAATGCCCAGTGGTCCTTTAGGGGGTACGGTGCATCACAGTCATTAACTCATTCTCTGATCTATCCCACCATGTAGGACTGTAGTATAAATAAAGTGGGGAGGTAGATAGTCATATTTCTTAAGTTTGAGGAAATGCACAATACAATTATAATAACTAACTAACTGGAGGTGCTAAGAAGGTTTCCTCCTAATATTTATCTTGGTTTCATGGCAACAGACATAGACTAGTGGTTAAGGAGTGAGCAAATCAAGGTTCTCTAATTGCCACCTTGAAGTCTGTACATGCATTGGTTTCCATATATATGCAAAAGTGTTCATTTTTGTGCATAGGCATCCACTACCCAAAAGTAAGTTTTTGTGCACTGTTAAATAATATGCAATTTTGTCTGCAGGCTTTTCAGATGCTTCCAAAGATGTGTATGTTTGACAAATGTACAAACCTGGCAACAGTAAAAGAAATTCACCTGTGTTGAACCAAAAGTGGCAACATTGGTCACTCTTCCTTAATGTTTATATCTCACTGGGGTCATGTTTCATTAATTTATGTCAGTTTCGCAGTTCAATTCCATCTAGGAAACTTGTCCTAGGAAATGGCCAATGGTCTTAACTGAGTGATTCAATCAATCGACTGAAGCCACACCTTATGAATTAGGTCTGAGACCATTTTAGCCAAAAGTCAATATATGCAAATTTGCCTTTTATGATATTCGGCACCAAAGGTTAGTAATGTTATCTGGTCAAAAAAAGAGGATGGTTTTTTAAATCCCTTGTACTCAAGTATAAACTACCTACATTTACCCACAACAATAGAATTAATTAAAGAGCACTAGGGAAATTCACTGAGCAGGAATTCTCTAGTATGTATTTTGTATTCTTTGTGACTGCAGTCACACTAGCAAAATGCTTTGGAGTTACTTCTCATGAATTTTGACCTTTTAGGGGAGTTCAGATGACACAAAGTCAATTCTTTTGTTCTTCCTCTGTGTTATCTCTGCATCAAATACAGCCCACTGGGGGGCAAACACAATATTTGTTCTGTGATTCATCACACAGTACAACCAACATCCCATTTAATGTGTGCTCCAAAACTGATTCATTTCCTATGCCTCTGGCGTGTGGTTGCACCTCCCTCACCTGCTGTCATTCAACTCCCCTTTACTTTTCAAACAGGAATGTTGGTATACTTCTGTCAAATATGGAGCATCAGTCTCCCTACTGTCTTCTGACCACCACTACAGTGTGCTGTAGGTTCTCTTCCATAGAGGGCAATGAAGCTTGGAAAGAGGAAGAAATGGCCCAGGTCAGTATATGACCAGCAAGGACATTTTGCCAAGACAGTGATGTACCCACACAAAATTTAAAAAAGAAAAGAAAAGGGGCAGAGAAAAGCACAGGAAAAGAAAGGGGATATGTCCCACTTGCAGAGTGTGGATGAACATATCACATCTAATTCACCACAAAAAAGCAGAATAGTTCAAAAATGTCTAAACCACTATGCCACCTGACCACAATGTGCAACTACACAGGAAGCAGAATACATGAGAAAGGAGGGGGACATTTCTCTTGTGTGACAGTGGCCTTTGTTTCATGATATCACAACATTGGTAAAGATAAAAGTACTTTGAATATACTTTATGTGCATTGTAAAAAAAATCATCCTTGCCAATAATAAATATTGCTGTTTTTCTCTTGTGTTTGTAGTCAACAGAGAATATTTGCACTAAAATCTTTTTCCCCTACCTTTTCCCTTTGTATGGGCAGAAGAACCCAAGTTTAGTCTGTGACCACTCTGGGCAGGACAGGGAAAGAATTTACACTGAAGACCCATTACAAGTCTGTACAGTAATATTGGGCTAGATAAAGCAAAGTGTTCTGCTTATATACTGCCTTATAGTACTTAAAGCACTCACTGTGCAGTTTAAAAGTTAATTAGGCAGGCAACACATTGCCCTTTCCCAGCAAGCTGGATTCTCATTTTACTGACCCTGGAAGGATGGAATGCTGAGTGAACCTCATGCTAGTTATCTGGGATTGAATCCCAGGCTGTGAGCACAGTTTTGGAGCTATGAGGCTCTTTAGGATAAATAGTTCCCAATATTGGGTTCGCAATATTTTCTTGGTCTAAAACTCCCAGAAGCCTTCAACGCTAGATTTTCTGGGAGTTATAGTCCAAGAACATCTGGGGGACCCAAGGTTGAGAACCAGTGGGCTAGATGAATGTATGGTCTAACCCAGGAAAAGGCAGCTTCCTCTGTCCTCATTCTCTGTGTCTCAGTTATGATAGGCTCCTTCTTAATCCATGACTTTAATTCTTTTAGTTATATGCGTTGGATAGTTCTTTACACCAAAGGATTCCTTCTCTTCCCTTTCTTGCGTCCTTTACACACCTCTCACTTTTAATCATACTTGCGGTGGCTACTTGCAGTTTTGATAATCACGATCTTAACCATGACAGACACAGAGAACTTGACAAAATACATTAGGCTCCCTAAATCCAGGTGCTGGCAGCCATTGGGCCATTGAAGGAACAAACAAACAAACAAAACAGTTTGTATTGAATTCAGACTTTGTCATGTTTTGAGTAAAATCTCTAAGATCAATTAAATGGGTCTTTATATTTTCTTGGAGATTGAAAATATGAGATAATTTTTGTTGAGTTGTAAAATCAGTAAATCCTTGTTACCATCTTATCTAGCATTGTAGTATCAATTTTGCCCAGACATTTATTTATGGGAGTTCTCAGAAAGTTGGAGACACCCAACATCTGCTGTTGCTCGCCTTGATTGATCAACCTGTCCTCCATGTCTAATTACTTAGACAAATTAGAGATGAGTTTTTAGCAACCCTCTGAATAGGTGTGAGCCTGCCCCAGTTGCAGCTGGCCAACATAGTGGGCAAGCCACTCTGTCAGACCCAGCAGGCATGCTTTCTCAAAGTGTTACATCTGAATCCTGGGGTGAAGCAGGGGAGAATGCCAACACCACCTTTGCAGGCACAGCTGGGGAGAGGGGTGTTGCTGTACTAGAGATAAAAGGCAAACAGGAAGACTCCAAGGAGGAAGAACTCGGGCAGGATGCTGAAGACTGGTCTATAATCAGGGGAGGAGAAGTCTGTTCTGAGACACCGCCAGGAAGGAAGCTGGCTAAAACACATTAAGAGACAAAGCAAGGCTCCAAGAGCCAAGGTTCCTGGAAAGCTAGAGAGATGCCAAGCACTGCTGGAGACAAAGCAGGTGGTCGGTCAGTCCCCTGTCCTCTTGCCTTGAGCCCTGATCCTCCAGCTATCACACACATTCTGATTTCTTCCTTCATGCCCTGTGCTCAGCCATTTCAGTTTCTGCTCTGCCTCCTCTAATGCCACCTAGGAGGGGGGTGTATGAATGTTCCTCCTGTCAGGGACAAAGAACTAATGGAACCAATTACCTTGAGAGGTTGTGAGTGCTCTAACACTAGAAACATTCAAGGGAAATGTAGACAACAACCTGGCAGATATCCTTTTATTTGTATTCCTGCAATAAGCAGGGAGTTGGACTCGATGGCCTTATAGGCCCTTTCCAACTTCATTATTCTATGATTCTATGACTAGGGGGGTGCAGCCTCAGAAGAGCAGTGTGCTTCCTGCCTGCAAAAGCCCCCGACAGCTTTAAGAAACATTCTGATCAAGCTGTACTTATTAACTCTGGGAGTGAAATAACTCCTTGGTCTTCATAGGATTGTGTTGACATGTTGGACTGGGGTCATTGCAGAAGCTGGATCTAGTTGGGGACTTGTCTGCTATGCACTTGTCTAAAAAGGCCTGATTCCACAAGAACTTTTTCCTTTCCTAGTTTAACAGAGCCAAAGTCTGACAAGAAATGTTGTGCCTGGCCCAGAAGGGCCCGATCCTGCTAAGGAATTTTTAGTTTGGGCCTAGAACAGCAATGGCGAACCTATGGCATGTGTGCCACAGCTGGCACACAGAGCCATCTTTGTGGGCACGCGAGCAATAAGTTGCTGGATCACTACCCCCGGCAGCCAAACCTGAGGAGGAGGCTGTAGCCACAGTGCTAGTGTCTGGACAGGGGGCAGACCAGGATCCGGAGCAGCTGGCGCTGGCAGGCTGGCCAAGCTATAGGCAGTGGCGGGGTTGGCATGACTGGAGATGGATCCAGAGTGGGGTCTGGAGGCACCTCCGTGCCCGGGATTCCCCCTTCTGCCACCGCCACATCTGCTGCCACTCACCATCCGCTGGTTTGTTTTTTGTTTGCTTGCTTGTTTTCTCAGTTTGGGTACTCCGGCTGAAAAAGGTTTGCCATCACTGGCCTAGAAGATCCTGAATCTAAAAAGGATCATGTACTCAATGTATGTTGGGACATGAGTCTGTCAAAGCCTAATTTTGTTCAGGAGCAAGCCAGACCTAATTCTGTAAAAGACTTTTGGTGGGAGTTGCTTTCTCCTCCATTTTAATAAAGCTTCTTCTTCTGCAAAGACTATCATAATGGAAGGGTCAGCTGTAGAGGCTCACAAGAGGTTTTTTTTACTGCCACTAAGCCATCATTGTTCTTGTTCTTATGTGCCATCAAGTTGTATCCAACTTGATTTACCATATGATTATGTGACGTCCAAGATGTGCTATCATTAACAGATCTGCTCAGCTTTTCCAAACTCAATGTTGTGAGTTCCTTTAGGGAGTCAATCTATCTCATATCTGGTATTCCTCTTTTCCTGTTGATTTCTAATTTTCCTAGCACTTTTGCTTTTCCCCCCAGCAAGTCTTGCCTTCTAATGATATGCCTACAATAGGATAGCCTCATTTCCACCAACTTTTGCTTCTAGGGATAGTTCAGGGTTCATTTGATTAAGAAGACTAACCCACTTGTTAATCTTTCTGATGGTCCATAGCATCTGCAAAGCTCTTCTTCATCACCATATTTCAAATGAATTGATTTTTTTCCTCTCAGCTTTCTTCACTGTCCAGCGCTCACATCCATACATTATAATTGGGAATACAATAATGTGGATGATCCTGATCATGTTCTCCAGTGACACTTCATCATATTTTATTATATTTGAGTTTCTTCATCGCTGCTCTTCTGAGTCTCAGTCTTCTGTTTTCTTGGCTGCAGTCTCAATTTGGGTTGATGACTGAATGAAGATATACAAAAACTTTTTAAAAATTCAAATTTGCTTTTGTGTTTTTTCTTGTGATTTTCAACTGCAGATGTTGATGGAGTGATATTTTGTGTATGCTTATCTGTTTTTATAGGATTCCATGTGTTGGCAAGGATGGATCTCACATAGAGTGAAAGGACAGAATATGCCTGTTTGGGAATATCCTCATACTTTTTCTCTGGCACAGCTGATGTTTTTATACAGTCTCTAACTCAAAAAAGCAGTCCTAACAGCTTGACGGCAAGTAAGTATGTCCTTGAGACTCAAAAGTGCTCTCCACCCCTTAAAATTACAGCAATGTTATTTTAACTCAGGACTCCTTAAGGACCAGCTGCAGAAACAAACAACCAGAAAGGAAACAGAGGAATGATCTAAGATAAGTTTCTTCTGATGTCTGGAAGCAAAGTTGTTTTTGGAAGGATGAGCATGAAGGTCTAATTTAAGTTAAACTGGCTTGAGGAAGGAAGGGCGTAAGGGAAATATTTCCTCATTTCTCTCTATAGGGCAAAAGTTTTACTCTTTTCCCTTTCTTCAGCAACAGTCAGTGAGTAGAATCAGAAATGTTTGTCACTGCATAACTTCGTATAACTGCTCTCTACTATGACTATCCTTTCTTGTGTTTTTGGAAGGATGAGCATGAAGGTCTAATTTAAGTTAAACTGGCTTGAGGAAGGAAGGGCGTAAGGGAAATATTTCCTCATTTCTCTCTATAGGGCAAAAGTTTTACTCTTTTCCCTTTCTTCAGCAACAGTCAGTGAGTAGAATCAGAAATGTTTGTCACAGCTGCTCTCTACTATGACTATCCTTTCTTGTCTACCCTGCAGAACAATACCAACATGCGGTACTCTTTTTCTGGTTTAGATGAGGAGAACATAATGCAAATAAGGAAGGTGCTAGCAATCTTTATCTGTTTGCATCTACATGTAAGGGCACTAGGAAACAAGGGAGAAAATACCCATTATCTGGTCACACCATTCATGGTGCTATCAGGACAATAACACTCTCTAAGGAAATGATTGTTTCACAACAAGGAGTTCATGCATTTCAAATTGCTCAGCACCTGGGCTTGAAATCGGTCTATTCTCCTGTTGCTTCAATACTGGTGCATTTTGATGCAGAAATGAGCCTGTCAGCGTGAAGGGTGATTCTCATAACCAGACAGCATGTAAAATCTGGAAATATATGTATTTTCTTTCTTCATGGCTGGATGATATGGAGAAAACTGGCTGCAAATGTCTAGATGTACATCTGGTTGTTATGACAGCCTGGCACCAAAGTTTATCACTTTTAATTTGTTGTTTTCAAGGAGACAGGGGATGCTATGGCTTGTTTGGAACTTGACTTAACTACTATGTGATAGCAGTTTCCTCTATAGACATATTAATAATTAGAACTGAATGGCTTCCATTTTGGAAAAGGTTTGGAAGAAGATTGATGAAAGATTCCTTTTAAAATCCTCTCTGGGTGTTTTTATAAATAAACTTAAAACCTGGCTATTTGGGCAGGCTTTCCCTCCTGCCATATCTTAATTTCTTATACTTTCACCACCTTGGATCTATACTATATGTTTTAGGTTTAGTTGTTTTTAAATTTGCAAACCACCCAGAGCAGATCTTTGGTCTAGATGGGTGGGATAGAAACTAACTAACTAACTAACTAACTAACTAACTAACTAACTAACTAACTAACTAACTAACTAACTAACTAACTAACTAACTAACTAACTAACTAACTAACTAACTAACTAAATAAATAAATAACTAACTAACTAACTAACTAACTAACTAACTAACAACAGAATATAGCAGGATCCAATACAGGTCAAAACTAATCAGTTTGCCAGGAGAATCTTGTGTTTTACAGGATCACATGAATATCTGTTGTATTTTCATGCTCCAGCTATAATAATATGAAAAAGAGATTTGCACATCTATTCCATGGGCCAGTTTTCCATATTTGAAGCTTAGAAATCTCCTCATGTGAGAAACTGGAGAATTCCTCTGTAGCATATTTTGTTAAACTTCCACAGTCACAAATATGACTGTGGAAGCCTATATTATTCCTACTGCTTCTCTCACTTCCCCTGGTAGTAAGGAAGCATGGAAAATAAATTTACACTGATTGAACTTTTTATGAATTTCTGCAGCACATGGTCTATGTGAGTGTTAACAGATACGGACATGTATTTTTTAGTTTCAGTTCTTTGGAGGCAACTGCCAACACTATATTTTTTTCTATTAATATTCAGAAATACCAGGCACAGTCAATCAAAATTACAAAAACTTTGACTGCTTTTATATAACAGGTACAAGTTTCAACCAAAACCCTAAGTATCTGTGAAATATCGTTGTATTAAAAAATACCAGAAAAAGTCAATCAAAATCATAAAGACATTGACTGGTATTATGTAACAGATACAAGATTTAACCAAAAATCTAAGGATCTGTTAACTATTAGCAGAGTGTGTATGCTGATATTGATATTGCTGGTTTCTGTAGCTCAGATGGTGTAAATTCTGAGATCCGCAACTGCTTATAATACTGTGTGAAATTTCCTGATATTGTTCCCAAAGCCCCAATGATCATGTGGACCACTGAAGTGTGTTTAATCCACAACCAAGATGTTTTGATTGCTAGGTCTCTGTATTTTGTTAGTTTTTCCAATTTTTTATCTTCAACTCTGGCATCCCCTGGAATTGCAATGTCAATGATCCAGATATTTCTTCATTCTATTATTACTATGTCTGGTGTGATATGTTCAAGGTATCTATCAACTTGGATCCAGACATCCCACAAGATCTTGACTTCCTCCTTTTCTGATACCTCCTCTACCAAATTTCCCATGGGTTTTTGGAGGCTGGCAAGTTATATTTTTTGCATAATGACCAGTGTATTAATTTTGCCACTCAGTCATGTCTAATTTTGTAATCTGTTTGTGCAATCTTTGGACATTCACAGATGAGGTATAGAAGAGTCAACATTTGTTTTAGCACCAACCCCTTGGATCTTAGCTTTCATCACATTGGTTTGGAGTGCTTGTTCTTGTGCAGCAAAAATCAAGCCTTTGGTTTCTTTCTTAAGGGCCTCCAGTTTTAGCCATGCCCATGTTGAATTATGGTCATGCTTTCCATGAATATTTCTCAGCTGTTGCTCATGGAGTGGTTTATTTTTCCAACCGTTTAATTTATTTTCAAATTGTTGTGTCATATATTGAGTCTGTACTATCTGCTGTATTGGCAGTAATCCACAGCCTCAAATTTTTCATGGTAAAGAAATCCATCCACATCACATTTTGGATGCAATACATGTTGCTTGTTCATTAGTTTCTGTGTTTTTCAATCCAGCACTTTTGATTCATTTTGGGTCCAGTCTATTATTCCATCTGGGTATCTAATTACTGGAACCGCCCATGTATTTATGGCTTTGATTTTATTTCCACCATTTAATTTTGATTTCAAGATTTTCCACATTCTTTCAATATATTCCCTTTCTGTCAGGCCTTTAATTTTTGTGTGCAGGATGCTCTCTGCTTCTAGTATTCAAAGGTATTTATAATTTTCATCATTTGATAAGATTTTATAGTATTACCAGTTTTTAACTCTGTTCCATCTATTTTTGGATCTTACCACGGTGTACAGACAGAACCGCACATTTGTCAATTCCAAATTTCATTTGAATAGCTTCACTAAATATTGGCTTGGTGTTTAGCAGTGATTCTATCTCTGTGGAACTTTTTGGATATAGTTTTAGGTCATCCATTTAAAACAGATGATTGATTTTTCCTGATTTTTCTGAAATATGGTAGCCCAATCCTGTTTTATTTTAAATTATTGACATGAGGATTAGTGGAATATTAAGCAGCAGTGGAGAAAAATAATTTCCTTGAAATATTCCTCTTTTGATGTGAAATCCCCTAGTTTCTTCACCACAGGCTATTAAGACAGTTTTCCATTTTTCCATGTTTTTCTAGAGGAACTTCTGAATATTTTTGTTAGTCACCAAAAGTTTTAGGCAGATGTTAATCCAGCTGTGTGGCAATATGTCAAATGCCTTTCTGCAGTCTATCCAGGCCATGTTAAGATTTGTTTTTCACCTTTTTGCATTCTTTAGTAGCATTTTATCAATAATCAGCTCTTGACTTTTTAAAGTTCCTTTTCTGCTCAGTTGGGTATAGGGAATTTTCAATTAAATAATTATATATTGATCTTGCAAGTACTCCTTTGAGGAAATTGAACATTGTTTGAAGGCATGCAATTGGTCATTAATTACTGGGTTCGTTGCCTTTTAGATTATCTTTTATTATCAGAAATGTGTGGCTTGTTGTCATCCAATCTTCAGTTGTAGAATTTTCAAGTAAGTAATTAAACTGCACTGATATATATATATTTTTAATAATTTTTTTTATTTTTAACAAGGGGGTGACAAAAAGGAAAAGGGAAATTGAGGTTGATAGGGAAGAGGAGAAACAATTACATACTAACGTCCATTCTATACTTATTGCCATATCAACATTCCAAGTTACTCTATTTACTCTTTTCTGCCTTCCAGGTTTAAGTTCTCATTTCAATATATGCTATTCATGCACTACCTATTGATTCAATCCACTTGTAGAGTAAGTCCCATCTTTCTGCTGCCTTTTGTAAAGGACAGTCCTTCATCACTTCTGATAAAATGTCCATTTCCGCTATTTCCCGTATCTTCTCTATGAGATCTTCTTGTTTCAGTACTGTCGGACTTTTCCAATTTTTGGCATAGAGAATTCTGGCTGCAGTAACTATATAT